GATACCTGTAGAAAAACCATTCAACTTATATGTACAACATGATAGCTAAGAAAAACATTTACCGAAATTCGCGAGAGCAGCGGTAACAGCTTGGCCCATGTCTTGTAAATACTGCATACTCTTAGCAACTTGTTCAGTAATATGCTCCTTCGCTAGATGAACGCGTTGCCTGAATGCAAAGAATTTAGTGGAAGTATCTCCAGTAATTCATCATTCACTAAATCTTTCGGCGCGTTCCAGTGAAAACGATGTTAACAAAACAAACCGCGCATTAGCGTCAGTGAATGCAGCACTTATTCCTTCAGCATGGTGTCGACGATCTGAAACATTCTAAGATGAGCACGTTTCACAGACTTCGTGAGCGGTACTTCCACTCACTGTATCACCACGTCCCCCCCCTCCCAGACAATACCTAACCATTTGGGCGCGGCCGCGGCCGAGTTGATAGGTGCCCGCGAACTCAGCACAGCACAGTTCGCGGGCACCTCGAGTGCGTTTTCAACGGTTCGCGGGCACAATCGACTCGGCCGCGTTCGCCGCGGCCGCGCCCAAATGGTTAGGTATTGTCTGGGAGCCGTTGATTACTAGTAGAAAAGAGCTTACGCTGACGACCTGATGGCATGTACTTCAGGCGAGCACCCCACGGTACAAATGTACGTAACGGATCCACAATGCGGATCATACCATGATGAGCATGCACTCCTGAAAAGCGATTTCGAAAAATTATGCATTACCTCCAGTTTTCATGAATCATACGTCTGTGCAAAGATAGCCATAAGATGATTATAGAAACTATAAAAGCCCACCAGTCTTTTCACATCGCTCACACAAATCGTAGTCGACGCAGAGGAGACATCTATATCGTGTCCCAATTACAACAGCATCGCATACATCGCATAGCACATCCTTATGGAGAGCACCCTTGAAAGACAAGAAATTTATCAAGCATCAAAAACGCTGCTCCTGTGGCATAAAAGACATTGCTTTAAATGAAGCTCACATCTGATGGAGAACTCTTCTCTTCCTTAGTTTGCTGAGGGGTTTCGTTGTTGAGTTTTGACTCCACCTTCTCGACTTTCTTTTCTAACGAATGAAGTCTAAGGGTGGCATCCTTTCGTGCTTCGATCGCTTCTCCAAGCTCCACAGGACGGGTGATGACAACGCTGTCACCATCTTCATCTGTAGAAAAAAATTCAATAGAAGAGCAGCCGCCAAAGGAATTTTTCCTCACAAAATGGATGGCCATCTGAGCCAACTACTAAAAATGATGTGTTGCGAAAGCAATCCTGCCATAATCCCGTTATCTTCCAAAGACTACCAGAAACCTTAACAGGGAACCTTTTCAAATGAAAGTATCCATGATGATTGATAACTAATCTAATGTGTTCGACCCTACGCATGCACGTGCCAGGTTTCACGTCACTTAAAATCTCGCGTGACCTAGACCTTTACCGAAACTCAACGGTTTCTGGACTGCATATCTTTCCTCATCTCCCGGTTTCCTGAATCGTATTAAAGCTTACCTTGCCATGCAACATCAAATTCTCCTCCAGGCTGTGAAATTTGAGATATATTCTCGGTCAGATCTTTGAATAGTTCACTCATATCATTGCCCTAAAAAGAAGAAAATACTAGCAGCTATGAAATCGACAACTGAAACTAACATTGAAAAATGGTGTTCCTTGAGGTTGGCTCCGACACGGATGACACTATTGCGAGAGGCCTACACTTTTCCCGCACGTGACAGCACAGCTTACGCAACAGCTACTGTAACTTAATTACCATTTACTTGTTGGCAAAAACCAACAACGCGTTCGCAGCTGAGAACTTCGTAGAAGTAACATTGGCAACTTCCGTTTATGATCGCAGTTAGCATTTCAATGCTGCCATGAAAACCAAGTTAAACGCAGATTATTCAATTTTCATTTTGTTACTACAGACGGTTGGACGTTTCATTTTAGGCTACAATAACATGACGTGTCATTCAACGTGGGTATCACGTCACGTCGCTCACGGCGACGGATAGCGTCGCGCGCGGCAATTTGGTATGGGCCATGCCTAACCATTTATTTCCATAAGTTACGCACTGGGCTAGGCAACTGAGAAGAACAGCGTGCTGGACATCAGTAAGCCAACTGGCGTCACCTTTATGGCCGGACGCATAAGCTCGGCGTCGGCGACGGGTACCCCCAGGAGGCCCGTCGCGCGGCAAGAAGGCAGAGTCGGCGGACGAGTTGCAGCGCGTGGTGTGCGATGTAGGACGTGCAGTGGGACACTCTATTTAACTTGACGCGAAATCCCTATAGTACGCGCGCGACTCGTCCGCTGACTTTGCCTTCTTGCCGCGCGACGGGCCTCCTGGGGGGTACCTCGCGTCGGTCCGACGACAGCAACGACTGCAAGTGTCGCACAGTATTGGGTGCGTATCGATCTGCGACACTTGCAGTCGTTGCTGTCGTCCGACTGCTGCTGTCGGACGACAGCAACGACCGCAAGTGTCGCAGATCAATACGCAGCTACTATTCCACACTACAGTGGGACTTTCGAAATACGATCACGCGCAGTCACGTGTTGTCTGGGTTTGCATTGGGTGACCGCGTCGCCTTCCATTTGCGACCGCGGTTTATGCGACACCTGCAGTCGTTGCTGTCGTCCGACAGCAGCAGTCGTTGCTGTCGTCCGACCGACTATGCGTCCGGCCTAAGAGGCGAAAAGACGTGATTCGCATGCGATTTAAGTCGCAAAGCCTGATCGCCTATGGGAGAGCGCATGTCGACACACACTTTTCTCGACGCTTTGGCGTCATCCTAGTATGCTCAGGTGGTATGCTGACAGTATATTACCCATGGCACGCTACAGGCGACACAAAATTGATAGGAAAACAGATCCCTGAAAAATCCCGTTACGCGGAGGATGTGTATCTTGCAATTCATCCAGCTAACGAACCCACAGCGCGGGTGACTAAGGACCGAGCCCAAAGAGAAACATCAAGTCCACGGCGGTTGCAAAATCGTTTATGATCCCTAAAATATGAAGGAAAAAGAAAAAAGCATAGACTTACCCGGAATCTTGAATCGACGATGAACATCTCCAGTGCTCAGCTTGACGCTTATAGTTTCCATCTACAATCAATAAAGTGACAAATATCCAGAAAGGGAAGACAAGAGTAAGAGATCCGATTATTGATAACGTGAAAGTTGTTTATTTTGCGAAATAAGCGGCTTTCACAGTCAGTCGCACGATAGTAACAATCGTTACGACCTTAAACGCAGCGGTCGCAGGGAAGCCAACGCGGCGCTAGCCGTGTGCCATCCTTGTTGACTTTCTATTTCAAGAAAATTCTCACGTTTAAGTTAGACAGAATTGCGATAAAGTAAGCTTTCAGCCAGAATTTGAGCTTCTAAATCTACACAAGACTCAGCCGAACAAATCAGCCGATGAATTGAAAGGGATAGGTGGACGAAAATGATGACGTCAATGATGAAAGGTGACTCACGCGAGTCCAACACGTGCAAGCGCGCCGCGATATTTCGAAAGTCCGACTGTTCTAGTGTGGAATAGAATATGGACGTTGATCGTAACGATCGTTACGAGCAAGATGACTTGACTATTGAAAGCGGCCCGGTTTACGGACTACTTGAACTTTCTTCCATGGTCCTGCCACGAATGGCGGAGGGCACAGACAGTTAGAGAACGGCGCCTGGCTCGGCTCCAAATCCCAGGGAAGGAGGTGAGAGCTCTAGGACTAAGCCTTGTAGGAGGGAGGGACTTCGAGGTGGGTGACTCCAGTGTAGTAAAAGTGTTTGAATGGTGTGGATCCACATGCCCATGAGGCTCATGATAGGCGTGAGGAGAGCGCCAGGGACGCAGGATGAATCTTATTTTATGTGAAAGTTTCGCGAATCGAGAATCCAAATTGTCCAGAAGGCTAGGCTAGGGGATGCTACGAGCTTCAATCCTGTCATTTTTTTCATCATTCTTTAAATACTATCTAGTCAGTTGGTAATGGGTGGTGAAAAGAGCCATAGTGTGAGCTAGCGAGGATGAAGCAGTTTTTGGAAATGCGGCGAGGGACAGAGAGTTGGCGTGGATATTTCACTACGGAGAAGACGAAGCTCCATTTCGCGAGAAGTTTTGCGCTACCCTAGCGCAAGAAGCTCAACAGAACGTAGAGAGATCGACAGTCAGCATGATCAAATTAGGATACGCTCTGCATACACCGTGGATGACATTAGGAGAAGATCGCCGACGTCCGTGCATATGCGGCTCGCGTCCATGGCGCGAAAATGATAAGCTATGATGACAAAAATTCCTGGCGTGAGATTTCACAATCACTAACATACAACGAAAAACAAGGTGACGCAGCAAAATATCAAAAAACCCATAAACAAAAAGGGAATGGCTAATCTTTCCATCAACCCGCTGCATGTTCTACTTTCGATTCCCATTTATTTGTTAAAAAAGAAAGGAAAACGGAAACAAGAACCTCATTGTAGGGCGAGCAGTAGTCGGTCGCGACAGCAGCGATCGCACTGCTCTGCTGTATACTGCATCTATGTCAATATCAGCAAGCCGAACGATCAATACGCATTTAATGCCCTGGCGACAGTTACGATCGTTAGCTGTCGTCCGCACGGCGTGCGCCTACGACAAAGGCACACGCATTACCTACATTTCAGGGTTGCGAATCATGCATAAAACACATGACAATATTACTAACAGCTAGCAATACTCGTGAAGCGATTCTCCTCCATCTCTTTAATTTCAAATCAAGATAAACCTTCGATATTTAATATGTCAAGGATGCTCAGAAGCGACAGCTGGGTGGACCACCTTTCTGTCCAAAAGTGGTTATACGACTCTGATTTCCAAATTTTGCTCACTACCCCCTAATAAGGCGTTCACAAGCGACCCAATAGGTCACGGTGATGATTTCAACAGTCTTGGAAGTAATTCCATCAGAATCCTCTAGCGAAACATCCACTAGCATTCAGCTGAATTGAAGGGAAGCTCGAATTGAACTTTTTTTAACACAGACGAGCCATGAGAAGAGAAGTACTACTAGATCTACAAAGAAGAAAAACCAGAAGCACTCCCCATGGAGATGAACAAAATCCAGCATGGAAACCCAACCAGTGGCGTACCGTCCCAGAAGGAGGACCGAAAACACCTCCCTGCGAAGCGAAAGATAGATGAATGGCCACATAGAAGATCACACCACGACCCGATTTCAAAACCGAGCAACAAACTGATGACAATTGCAAAAGGCAGCGGCTCAGCTGACTCATGTGATGGACGGGCGCGACTTACTGCGGGGTGGTCCCAGCACGAAAACATCAGCTGAGGAGTAATCAATACGTGCGGATGACGTCAAATGTTCTCGGCAAAGGGTTTTCGATCCAGTTTCGTTCGGTTGCCATTTTACACCTTTTTGCGTGGTATCGCTCTCACTCTTAATGCTTTCCTGTGCCTATATCGTCCGTTTTGAGCTTGTGATGATAAGCGGGTGGTTCTTGTTGAAGTTAAGATTCGTGAGTAAGCTCCTGCTTGTAGCGCTCGACATTTCTCTTTCTCTCTCTTGTTTTCCTTTTTCATTATTCATTAGTTCTTTTCTTGGAAGGCTTTATCTGTAGGGGATGCCTAACGCAACGCTGAGCTTTTTCCTTCCTGTCAGATAACACTCGTTATTTATTGTTAACTGCTTTTTGGCCGCAGTTCGCCTTGCGAATGTTTCACAAGAATGCTGGGTTGTGAACAAAACTTTCGCCCCAGGCGGGACTAGAACCCGCACCTCTCGCTTTCCGGGCAAGTGCGCTACCAGTTACGCTACCGGGGCACCATTTCATCCAACTCAGCTTTCATGGTATATATCGGCTAACCGGCTCAACACGTTATACGTGTGAGTGCTGAAAGCTATGGTACATGAAAAGCTGAGTTGGGATGAAATGGTGCCCCGGTAGCGTAACTGGTAGCGCACTTGCCCGGAAAGCGAGAGGTGCGGGTTCTAGTCCCGCCTGGGGCGAAAGTTTTGTTCACAACCCAGCATTCTTGTGAAACATTCGCAAGGCGAACTGCGGCCAAAAACAGCAGTTAACAAACAAAAACAAGTCAAAATCGTTATTTAGTAAAGTACTTACATGACACTTTCAAACAACCTCACATAGCAGGGAACTCGGAATAGGGGAGAGGGTTCTGTTGCCAAAATAAAACCGCTTGCTCAAGGGATTAGATCCTTTTTAAGGAAAAGGGGAGAGAGCGAGTTTTTTTCGCTTTTTGATTGATTGATCAATTACGTGAAACTACAAAACGTAGGTTTCGTCGGAGATGGAAGCAGCGTGTCATATTTTTGCTGCGGGAACTTCAGGTTCACCGCTGATCATCAATGGACCCGAGGTTCCCGCAGCGATAAATGTTTCGCCGCGAAACGCGAAAAGTCGTTTTCTGTACTAGTGAACCGCATCCAAGGAAAAGAGAAATACAGCTGGCTGTCAGGGCAAGCGCTGGTGAAGCTATGCTCCTGGCCATTGGCATATTGCTTCATTTTTATTGAAAAAAGCTTCGGCTCCCCCACTTTCCTCAGAATTTGAAAACGCTCCACCACCACAGTTCGCGGGCACATTCGACTCGTCCGCGCTCCAAATCGTGAAGAAGAATGGGGACTGCGTGCAAGGGCAGTGATTATTCGGCTCTTTGTTGTTCCTCTTGTTCCTCTGGGCACTCTATTACAGCATGTCTGCTTTCTATCCTTTCTTTATAAAGCTTACTCACGTTCTCACGCGTTAATTGACCACTGCCCCGTAACCGAGCGGATGCTTGCGTCGCTCAAAGGGCGCTCCAATGCGCTGCAGCGCGCACCAATGCTAAGGCGGATTACGGTAACAGTGAATCCGCGGCCTTTGTTATCTGTCTTGTTGAAGAAATGGGGAGAGCCAAAAGCTTTCGAATTACACATACTGCGCGATCCTGCTGCTAGTGCTGGGAGAGCTGATTTCAGTCTGCTTGTGCTATTGACCTGTATCTGAACCTTATTCATTGATTTCACCCATTGATCAGCCTATCATTGGGCGCATTCATGGTCGGTCGTGCGATTGTTTACGGTCGTTATGATGCATTACTGACGATATTAATGCGCTAAACCAAGGTGGAAGCTGCATTCATAATATTATAGCATTTCGGTTCTTTTCTGGTTTGCTTGTTGTGAAATTCCCCGAGAAGGCTGTCAGTACTATCCATATTCTGTGCATGAGCTAGTTTCGAGTTGTTTACACACTATGTTTGGAAAGGAAATGAGTCCATCATCGTCATACGTTCATACAAATCTTAAAAAATGGTACCTTTTTTCATTCATTACACTTTTCAGTTCAACTGACTTTGGATGGGAGCTCTACTTGCTGCACCGGCATGCGCCGCTTCGGTAAGCTGTACTCGTTTCATTTTATAGGGTGCTGTCGCTGTCATTCAAAACCGTGAGTCGAGGGTCCCTACTCATACTTTGATGAATTAGGTGATATGACGTGTCATGGTGACCCGAATTCTTATTTTCTTCAAACCCTTTCTCACAAGCAGCGACTGCGCAGTTATTAACGTCTGTTGATCGGATCCGATCGTGCAATCCCCTAAACCTGAGTGTAGAGGAGGTGAGGAGGTAGATGGTCATCGACCATTTTGGAGTCAGGTAGTAATGGACCTCACTAGTTTGTGGGGAGCTCGGTAACTGTAGGAAATCGTCTTTTCAAGCTTGAAATTTCGAAAGAGGACGTGTGAAAATGCTCCCTCGAGAATGTTCACCGCAAATGGGTAACGTAAGAAGAAGGAAGTTTTGCAAGTGTAATCTCCTCAACTTTGATTGTGCTTTTCAGTTGGCATGTTGCTGTGGTGGCGCGGCATGTTCGCTGTGCTGCGCAGCTTGTCCAACGACACGTAATTCGACTACCACCCGTATTATGTACGCAGTAATGCTCTTCGTTGGCACCTTTGTCGCCTGCATCATGCTGGCTCCTGGAATTCAACAAAAGTTGGCTGACGTGAGTTTTAACTTTATTGTCTTTCACATTACCTCCTAGGTTGTCAAATTTTCCCACGGGTTGAGAACCTGTAAGGTTGTGGGGCAAAAGTCATAAAGTATCGTGGAGAATTTTTAGAAAAAAGAAGGTCTATTAGCCAATTCGAACATTCACTCGAGAGGTGCATGTCGATGTCTTGGAACGCTGAGCTCAAATTTGCTTCTGGATTGTGCAGGACGGTTTTATAATTATTAAAGTAATTAGATAATTATTAAATATAAAGCAGAAGAGCGCAGCGAAAGTGACTTGATGAAGACGGCCCTTAGTTGAAGAATTCGTCAGCACAAGCCTATATTTGCTAGGCTTAGGCGCTTCTTACCTGTGTTTGCCCATGGCTCATGCAGCGCAAGCGCTAGGCTCTTTCGCGGTGATCAAATGCCTTTTTTAGAGGTGAATTCTTAGCAAAATTGAGGTTTTCGATTAATAGAGCCCAAACATGAAGACACATATGGAAAGCTCACTGATAAGGCGGTGTGTCAATGGGGAAGCTTTGATAAAGCCGACCCTCAGCTTACACCCTTTTTGTCCATGTTTTGGGAGCAAATTTGCTAAGATTCTGTCGCAAGATCTATCAGGCTCCAGTGTTGGCTTGCGAGCTTGGATTCTGTGATTTTACGTGGAGACATGTACGGATCACACGCGCGATAACGATCGCAGAATTAGTCGGTAGATGTCATTTCCACACTCGAACTGCAAAGCAAATTGCAAGAAGGTCGTAAAGTAGGACCGCGACCTCACCGGTGAGTGCGGTCAGTACCGCTGCGCTCTCCCCCTTCAGACGCGGCGAGACACTTACAGAACTTGGGACTGCGCCTTAGAGAAGGGGAGGGATGCTGGGGAGGAGATGAGCAAGCTTTGTTCTCCCTGGCGTATCTTCCCATTCGTAGGCTTAGTCCTAGTGTCATCCACCAGCGGTTTTTATGTCCTGTTCTGAATGTCCACTTTAAGTCCATGAGGGCCCCATTTTATCACTCTTTCGTGGGACCGTTCTACAAAATTCGAAAGATTTAAGCTCGGCTTTCAAGGCGCGCGCATTAGTATACGCCTCATTCCTAAACGCCGGATTGACGCAACTGAAGTTTGCATTTAAGTGCGTTCCGTTGCATCAGATGGGCCTCACTTTGCTATTCACAAGAAAATAAACGGTGTGAAGGAAAGAACTTGTTGAATTTTTGCTTGTTCTGAAATGGAATGCTTCAATAGTTAGCCTAGCGGTGATTAATCAAACTTTCCGTTACCTACAGTTTTTTGAACGTCATCTTTTCATATTCACTACGTGTCACTTTCCATCAAAACGGTGCTTTGCAGAATAACTGGTTCTGTCAAGGGCTAAGCGAATATGCTGGTATAAACTGCGAACGAGCGACAGGGTTCCAGGCTGTGTACAGGTGTGTTCATAGTATTTATGATTGCAACGAATATTTTTGTGGAAAAAGAAGCAAATACATCACTAGAAACTTGTAAGTAATTTATCTTGGTATGCTATACCCTTTTTAGGATGTGCGCAGCAATGGCTTCATTTTTCTTCATTTTCATGTTGATAATGTTTGGGGTGAAAACATCGAAAGATGCGAGATCATCAATTCAGAATGGATTCTGGTAAGTGTTCTTCAATCACAGCAGTGAAAGCATTACGTCATGGTCACAGCTTACGACCATCTTGCAGTACCTTTTGTGTGTCAAGTGGACGCGTATCTACCTAAGATCGCACGATCGATACGATCTGTTCCACGAAAAATCACAAGATCATAAAGTATGAATGCGGCCCTAGACCTGTAAGCATCACTGTTGAACGTCATCGCACAGCTAGCTCCTTCCGTGTCCAGACGTGAAGCTCTTCTCGTGACTAATTTGTGCAGCGGCAAGGTATTTGTATTCTATATAATGGGGCATCGGAATTTCATGTTCAATTCGGTTTTGTAGGCATTAACGACTTTAGAATGTGGATGGGAAAGCAAGCTTTCAAACTCCCGAGAGGAAAACCCGTATGGTTGAAATTTTAACACGACCTAACACCTAACAAAATCTTCGCCAGCAAAAAAAAAGAATATTGTTAACAAATGAATGTGCGCTTTCTTTCTGGTATAGAAGCTGGTATAGCTTTAGTTACCAGAAAATTACATTGATTTGCCAAAATCGTAGCCAGTGAGACGGTTCATGCTAGCTGATTGGGAGTCTTCATTTTCGTCTGGAGAGTTAGAGGGTATTTAATGTTGCTTGAAACCGCGTTGCGATAGTTGTTTTTTCATGCTCTTTTTGTGTGCACAATGTCTGCAAATGATGTGATTCTAGTGGGAAGTTTATGCTGTTTATGTTCTTCAAATTATCTTTATGAGTGCGGATTGTGTTGGATATTTCTTTGTTCGCAGTGAGCACTTATCAACGCGTAAGTTCGCTGAATGTTGTTCCGATACTGATTGGGATTTTAATGTTGATTGAATTGCTCATTCTTTCAATTTTTAAGCCCTTATGTGGTTTGGTATGATCGGAGGATTTCTCTTCATCCTTATTCAGCTGATCCTAATCGTGGACTTTGCTCATGGCCTAGCTGAAAGCTGGGTGGAGACGTAAGTTGCTCGTATTCTCTAGCAGCAGTGGTGCTGTTTGTCTAATTAAGCCCTTCCACAGATATGAAGAGAATGAATCGCGTTGGTGCTATGCTGGCCTACTTACCTTCACCTTGGTTGCTATGCTGTTGCGTTAACAACAGTCGTACTCATGTTCATATTTTATACAACGGTCAGTTGTTTTCTTGAGAAACATTTTTGGTGGTTCATTGATATGATCTACTTTCAGGGAGCAACTTGCGCTTTACCAAAGTTCTTCATATCGTTTAATATGATTTTGTGCATTGGAGTCAGCGTCTTGTCGATTATGCCTTTTGTACAGGAAAGGTACTGTTTTCCCTATCACCACAGACTTTATTTTTGACGTTACCTTAAAGTTCAATACGGACATAGTATAAAAATATCGATTATAATTTTGTCATGTAGTTGCCTTGAATTTTTTGTTACTGTCGGGTCCGGTCTCGCTTGTCTGTCGTCTAGGGGTGTCAAACAGCTTGTACCTGGAAACTTTATTGACTACGAGCTAACCGCTCGACAGATCGCAACAGAGTAGAAAGAACAAAGGGGCGGGGCCTAAAGCCTTATATAGTGGTGCCCACGTGGATATCATGAGATTCACAAGGATTTCGAAAAAAGGGGAGATTAAGTACAACGATAGTGGGTTATGAAATGAGATACGGTATAACAGAGATCGGCTAGGCAAAGGCTAAGTGAACATAGATAAGTAGATACATAGATAAGTGACAAAAATAAGTATAGTAACCAAATACAAGGTATTTACATATCTACATTACTCATAATTTTTAGAATGCCACGTTCTGGTTTGCTACAATCAGCGTTCATCACTATTTATGTCATGTATCTGACTTGGGCTGCTCTCATCAACAACCCTGGTTTGTTTTGCGTATTTTTCCAATTGTTGTGGGTAGGAACCTTATGGTTTGTGGTGCAACCTGTATAAACACATTGAGCACTGTACTGAGATATAACCTACCACTCAAAAACCAGATCAATGTGTTGCGATATTTGAGTCAACCTCTTCAAATAACTTTCAGACAAGCCGTGCAATCCGTCATTGATCAGCATTTTCACGAATGCTACTCGACCAGGAGATAAAGACGAACATGTGCGTTGATAAACTTCCTGTCGAATTCGAGAATGTAATGAAATTTACCCTTTTAGATATATGGCACCCCAGTTCCAGCACAGTCGATCGTATCGTTAGTTCTGTGGTTCCTGTGCCTCCTGTACGCTTCGATTCGAACATCGACGAACTCTTCGCTTGGAAAAATCACTGGTGGAGGTGAAAACATCCAACTAAGTGGGTCTCGCGACGCGATTGTACCCACAAGCGGTGAGTGCGCGGTCCCAGCTTGAAATTAGTTTAGTTAGTGCTAGTCGCGCCATGACCACAGGCCCCCTTCGGTTTCCACAACTCATTTCAGCTGCATTTCCTGCCCCTGTGAAGAACGATATTCTGCATGTTTCTCAGTGAAATTCTCATGTGATTCATAAATGCACCTTTTGTTTGTTCCCCTATTTGGAAGCTCTCAATTTAGAATATAAGGGCTTAGAATTTCATTCTTATTGCAACAAGGGACCGCGCGACTCCCCCATATGTTGCATGCTGCATGGCTCGGTCAGTTTTCTCGTTTATTGCTTGGAAAGCTTCAAGTCGTTTTGTCAGTCTCGGAAAGCTTGTTGTGCATTGTTCGTTGACTTTGAGTGCCTGTGCGTCCGAATTTCACAATTCTTTCAAGAAAATCATTCACTTTTTCACATGCAACATATTCTGTCAACACACTTTTGTACGCTTTCTCAGTAAGTGGTTGTCAAGATTAGAAGCAACAACGTTCGAAAAGGTGATGACACTCATTCCCTTGTCTTCTAGCAAACCTCCAGAAGTTTCGATTCAAAAAGTGGAGTGTTTTGTTCTTCT